ATAACAGATAAAATATAGTTACTTTAAAAAGAGACAACTATTCAGGGCTATATATCGCCCCCCCCCCCCTACAGGACCAGGAACGTAGCCGAGGGGGCGGGGGCGTATTATGAATAGCGAACCTCATTTCGTATCATGAATAGCGACCGTCTACTCCTATTATGAATAGCGACCCTCATTTCTTATTATGAATAGCGACCCTCATTTCGTATTATGAATGGCAACCCTCATTTCATATTATGAATAGCGACCCTTATTTCTTATTATGAATAGCGACCCCCTACTCCTATTATGAATAGCGACACTCTTCTTCTATTATGAATAGCGACCCTCTTCTCCTTTTATGAATAGCGACCCTATTCTCCTATTATGAATAGCGACCCTCTTCTTCTATTATGAATAGCGACCCTCTTCTCCTATTATGAATAGCGACCCTCATTTCTTATTATGAATAGCGACCCTCTACTCCTATTATGAATAGCGACCCTTATTTCTTATTATGAATAGCGACCCCCTACTCCTATTATGAATAGCGACCCTCTTCTCCTATTATGAATAGCGACCCTCTTCTTCTATTATGAATAGGGACCCTCATTTCTTTTTATGAATAGCGACCCTCTACTCCTATTATGAATAGCGACCCTCTTCTTCTTTTATGAATAGCGACCCTCTTCTTCCATTATGAATAGCGACCCTCATTTCTTATTATGAATAGCGACCCTCTACTCCTATTATGAATAGCGACCCTCTTCTTCTATTATGAATAGCGACCCTCATTTCTTTTTATGAATAGCGACCCTCTACTCCTATTATGAATAGCGACCCTCTTCTTCTATTATGAATAGCGACCCTCTTCTTCCATTATGAATAGCGACCCTCATTTCTTATTATGAATAGCGACCCTCTACTCTTATTATGAATAGCGACCCTCTTCTTCTATTATGAATAGCGACCCTCTTCTTCCATTATGAATAGCGACCCTCATTTCTTATTATGAATAGCAACCCTCTACTCCTATTATGAATAGCGACCCTCTTCTTCTATTATGAATAGCGACCCCCTTCTTCTATTATGAATAGCGACCCTCATTTCTTATTATGAATAGCGACCCTCTTCTCCTATCATGAATAGCGACCCTCTTCTTCTATTATGAATAGCGACCCTCTTCTCCTTTTATGAATAGCGACCCTCATTTCTTATTATGAATAATGACCCTTATGAATAATAACCCTTATGAATAACGACCCTCATTTTGCATTATGAATAGCGACCCTCATTTTGTATTATGAATAGCGACCCTCATTTCGTATTATGAATAGCGACCCTCTTTCTGTGTTATGAATACCGACCCTTTTGTAATATTATGAATAGGGACCCTTATGAATAACGACCCCGTTTTCCTATTATGAATAGCGACCCTCTTCTAATATTATGAATACCGACCCTCTTCTTTGATTATGAATAGCGGTCCTTATGAATAATGACCCTTATGAATAATGACCCTCTACTCCTATTATGAATAGCGACCCTCTTCTTCTATTATGAATAGCGACCCTCTTCTTCCATTATGAATAGCGACCCTCATTTCTTATTATGAATAGCGACCCTCTACTCCTATTATGAATAGCGACCCTCTTCTTCTATTATGAATAGCGACCCTCATTTCTTTTTATGAATAGCGACCCTCTACTCCTATTATGAATAGCGACCCTCTTCTTCTATTATGAATAGCGACCCTCTTCTTCCATTATGAATAGCGACCCTCATTTCTTATTATGAATAGCGACCCTCTACTCTTATTATGAATAGCGACCCTCTTCTTCTATTATGAATAGCGACCCTCTTCTTCCATTATGAATAGCGACCCTCATTTCTTATTATGAATAGCAACCCTCTACTCCTATTATGAATAGCGACCCTCTTCTTCTATTATGAATAGCGACCCCCTTCTTCTATTATGAATAGCGACCCTCATTTCTTATTATGAATAGCGACCCTCTTCTCCTATCATGAATAGCGACCCTCTTCTTCTATTATGAATAGCGACCCTCTTCTCCTTTTATGAATAGCGACCCTCATTTCTTATTATGAATAATGACCCTTATGAATAATAACCCTTATGAATAACGACCCTCATTTTGCATTATGAATAGCGACCCTCATTTTGTATTATGAATAGCGACCCTCATTTCGTATTATGAATAGCGACCCTCTTTCTGTGTTATGAATACCGACCCTTTTGTAATATTATGAATAGGGACCCTTATGAATAACGACCCCGTTTTCCTATTATGAATAGCGACCCTCTTCTAATATTATGAATACCGACCCTCTTCTTTGATTATGAATAGCGGTCCTTATGAATAATGACCCTTATGAATAATGACCCTTTTCTCCAATTATGAAAAGCGGACCTTATGAATAGCGGTCCTTATGAATAATGGACCTTATGAATAGCGGACCTTATGAATAGCGGTCCTTATGAATAGCGACATTGATGAGAACGTCATTATTTTGGTTCATTTATTGTGTAACATTTGCGTAATTATTGGGTTGAACGCGGGTCAGAGTAACATATTTCCTCTTCGAAGTAAATTTCACGTGAATGAAGAACATGATTCATCTCAAGTCAGCCTCGTAATATTCACGTGAATTTCACGCAGATATTTTGAATAAAACTATCACTAACGCTTCACGTGTTTCTGTGACGCGATAATTTCGTTTATGAAGATGTAATTTCATAACCAAACAAACATGGGAGTATTAGGTTTACAAACCATGGTCTCCAAGGTAGAGATAATCACGTTATTATAATGGTGATATTGCAGTGACAATTGCGTAATTTAGAGTACGTGTGTTTTAAGTTACCTAGTGCAATAAACGTATTAACACATTTACGTAAATGTCAGGTGTTTGAAGAACGTAACTCTCCTCAAGTCGATACCTTGATATTGACGTGATTTTCACATGATTTTGTTTATTGGGATGCCATATTCGTAATTCCTGCAAAGTTCTACAGAATTCGAATTTAATGTTGGCTGCAAAAAGGACATAGACAAATCCACTCTAAAAATAATTTGTTTTTAATAGATGCAGAGAAACAGAGCAACGAAAAAAAAGAGTAAAAACGGTAACTAATAAGGAAGTTATGAAAAACTATGGAACTTAGAAAATCACTTCACAAATTGCCAATTTGGTTATCAGTCTGTGACGTCATTGCCTCATTATTTATCAATTGCTTAAAATATTTTTTATCCCATTAGTTTCTTTTTTTACCCCCCAAAAACTTGATTTCCCCATGCCTTTGCCCATGTTATATTATTTGTATCATATTGCGTGAAAGACATTACACAAAATCTTTTATGAACTTTAAAGAAAAGGTTGAGTTCTGGGAATGAGGTGACCAATTATTTATGAGCGTTATCATTGTTATTATGCAAGTGGGGAAGAACATCAGATAACACAAATGTTACCTTGAAAGCATAGCTATTCATATGCATACAGTGTGTGCGGGCAAGCACTGAATCCAATGACCGGGGTAATAGTATGTAAAGCGCTTAGAGACATTTGTATTAGGCGCTATATAAAAATTAAATATTATTATTATTATTATGATATGCCTTAATATTCTATATATGACATGTAACAGAATAAAAGTCAGAACGGATTTGTATGCCACAATATTCGTGTAGTCTCATATACATAATTTATGTGTACAGTGCTTGTAACTTTACCAAGACTGGGCCAAATTTCTTATCATTTTGATGATTCCAGAACCTTGCAGTACACACCAATACGTATATGCTAGATGATCAACCTTTTCTGATCGATTCCACACCGTTTCTTTCACAATGCAATCGCATGACCAGAATTCAACTTTATCTTCAAAGAAATGATAATATTTTCTGAATATTGTATATTAACAATCATAGTGATTTTGTATATAAATAGTTTATCGAAATTCACATTTTTATGATTTAACTGACAAAATAATTACTCTATAGTAGTGCATCCACACAAAAACAAATTACTATCAATATACCTTGGATGCTGGTGTGAGGGAATGAGATTTTTAGGGGGGAAATTAGAAATTAATATTATCAACATAATTATAAAGAAAAAAAACAGTGGATAGTCAGGCAATGACGTCACAGACTCATGAGTGGGTTGCTAATTAGTCTTGTGAATTTCAAAGTTTTTCATGTCATTAAAAATGTAAGACGTTGTTATTAGTTATCCGATTTTGCTTCAACTTTGGTCTGTCTGATTTTTTGCATCTACTGAATGTAAATTTGTTTTAAAGTGGACTTGCCCTTTAACATCAATTTATTAAGTGACACTATAGGTTGCTGTGAACATCACGATTACTATTTTGTGTGTGTGTGTGTGTGTGTGTGTGTGTGTGTTAGGGGGAGGGGGGTATACCGCGTCATATCTGAACGTGCCTTTTTTTTTGGCGGTTTACCGCGTTAAAATAAAGCTTGAGGAAGGATGCCAGTAAAAGCTCATTATGACGGGGTAAACCCCAGCGGTTTTTCTGTGTAATGGCCTAAGCGTATTAAATACGAACGCTTCGCATTTTCTGTATCTTTTCCCTAACTCACAGATAATAAGTGAGTTCGCGTAGGATGTTCTTACTGTGTGTACTTACCTATTCCATCTTTACATGGCTTTTAATGAATACGTTATAAACAAAAAGAAGATGCAGAAAAAGAAGAAGTGGAAGAAGAAGGAGCCAAAGAAGAAGAAGAAGGAGAAGAACAAAAAAGGAAAAAAAAGAAGAAGAAGAGGAGGAGGAAGAAGAAGATGATGAAGCAAAAGAAAAGGAAGAAGAAGGAGAAGAAGAAGAAGATAAGAAGTACGAGGAGAAGAACAAAAAGAAGAAAAAGAAGGAAAAGATTAAGAAAAAGAAGAAAAAAGAGTGAAAAAAGAAGAAAATATGATGAGGGAGATAAAGAAAGTAAACGACGAAGAAGAAGAATGTGGTAAAAGCCATATACTTTTTGATATCGTATTTGTCATAGAGATCCATGGTACCCCGGAAGTAGTTGAGTTGAGAGTTAAACTTTTTCAAATCACTGGCACATGTGCCGTGCTTTTCATATTCATGTTCCCTGGATCGAAAGCAATCAAATAAACAAACAACCAATCAATCAATCAAACTAAACAACAGAATGATCAAACACGTATATATATTTCGGATTTTTTATGGTATTCATGTGACAAATAAGCATGATATTTTTTAATGTTACATTTGAATTTTGGGTGGTGATGTGTTGCAAAGTCACAACGAAATTAACCACAAGATATACAGCGGCATTCTGTGCAGGCCCTGCAGAGTAAATCATGGTGAGGAGTATGAAGAAAATAAACGATGTCATATAAACCCCGCTAACAGAACTTCAGCCAGACCTATGAGTGGGACTTGAAATTCGTAATGCGTTACAGAGTGTCTGAAATAAGAGGCTATGCCGACTACACGGTCTAGTGCACATCGTACGCTCTGTACTTTAGCTGTTCATGACACAACCAGAGACTGGCTGGGCTAGGCTCTGAATCGTCAAGTAAGAGTCTGTGCATACAGTCTAGTAAAAGCTTACCTGGTAAAATTGTGATGGCCGAAATTTATTTGTGTTTACCAGAGGTTTTAAAACTTTTGCTCCCCCCCCCCCCTCCCTCCACCAAGAATCCTAGATCTTCCAATGTCTAGCACCATGTAATTCAAAGACAGGACTAGATACATACCAGAACTAGTCATTGGTTCCACCAGTTTCGATGTTCGGCCATTTCTCGTTCAACTTTGCTCGTATAGTAGACTAGGGTAAAAATGGGGATAAAACAGATATGATTAAGTGTGTGGGCTTATTAGATTAGTTATTAGATTGCGGAGTGAAAGAATCTACAGAAGTCAATAGAAAAGGTTCTTTATGCAGTACATACTATTGCGTTTTTTAGGGCTTTGGAATCATTACAAAACAAACAGAGTAACCAACAAACAACAAAAACCCATACGTAGATGGTTTTTGTAACATGCATCCAACAAGCTTTGCAGTTATTTTTGATGAAAAATCTGACCAGCAACAAAAATCAAAAACAACAACAACAACAACAACACAATATCATCAACTCGAAATCGGAGAGGGGAACACAATTTTGGACTTGAATACCAAAGGTATTTCACTTGCGTTTTAAAAGGGCGCACGGGCAGGATACGCCCCCACCCCACTCTAAATTCGCCCCTGATGGTAATTGAGAACATAATTATATATTATACTAATAGTCTCGGGTCAAGACATGGTTTGACCAGAAAAAATTGCATCAAACGGTTTTCATCGGTTTCTATTAGTATTCGACCTCAGGACGTCCAGAAAGCTGTTATTTTCAAGATGGCGTCTAAGATGGCCGCCGATACCTAAAAAAAAGACCATATATCACTTATTATCCATCCGAGAGACATAATTGGGTTGCCAATGCTATGGTTAACGGGGTCAGAGAATCCATTAGGATACGTTAGAACGTCAAGCAGTGGTTCAGGATACCACGAAATCCAATAAGGCGCCCAAAGGGCCACAAAACCATCAACAGTTCTCAGTGGAGGGCGCACAAAAGAAAAGGGTAAAGTCAACTATTAACAGGTCCTTTTATCGACACTGGAGGAGGGGGGTGGGAGTGACAAAGAAAAAGTAACAACTTAATAATGATATCTAGACACACATTCATGATACCTACCCACCATACAACTAAACATGTTCAAAACCTTGTGTTGTTCATATGTTATCTTAAAGCGAATTCACCATGCAGATCTCCACGTATCTTCATTTTGATGAGGAATGTACTTGAGTAAGGATAAATCATCTTTCGCTTCACTATCAAGTGACTCGTTATATGGATTGTGGCATACATCAAGTTGGCAAGGTCCACACACACTGTTATATGGCAGTCCGTTACCTCTGCAGGTACAGCGAGGTGCGCTACAAGCAGTTCAGCAATTGCAATGAATCAACTTCAGAAGATTACTAGGTGCATACTCAATATTGAACATCAGTGGAACCAGGTGATTGTCCTCTACTTTTCCAGCTCCAGTCTGTGACGTCCGTGTCTTCTTCGCTCTCAATCCATGCCATGATGTTCTGCAGGAGAGGAATTGGGTGAAGGCTGGCGTAAGAAGGAGTCGCATTGGCAACTTTCTTGACGAACAAGTTGTATCGTATTGATGCAAGTGAGTCATTACAGCGGCAACCAAACATGACAGACATTGCTTTTATACCGAGTTCCTCGACCAGTTTCGTTGGCTGGCTTGGAAGAAGGAAAGTACAAGTGCAGGATTCTTAAGTGGGGTTGCCTTTCACAAGCTTCTGGAAGACTACTTTTTTCCGATTACAAATATCCTGGAAGTCTAATCGCAACCAGTGTAGACATGTCGAAAACGTAACTGTGAGCATAGATCTTTACCCAGGTCCACTTTCAACTGCTCAATGTTATACACCTTCGGAGCCTTGGCTGTATTGTCAGACCGGAATTATAGTTCCCTGCTTTCTACATCCGCGTAATGCAAGACCAATGTGTCAGTGTGTTCTACAATCAGAATAGTAGACTGACGACGAGAAGAATTCACTGCAGCTTTTGCAATATGTACATCTCAATCCACGAATGCATTGGTGACGGCGCAAATACTCTTCCTCATTTCCCCACTAATGAGATTTATGAGTCCCTGCTTATTGCAGTCTGGTGATAAAAACTCATCCTCTTGCCTGAGAATACTGTGTCTGCATTGAATCTGACAACAGGATGGGCATTCTGCCCACGTCGCTGGTGTGTATTGTTATTAATTGATGGCCCTCCACCATAGCCGTCAAAAACTACAATTGCAGAACCATAGTGGGGGGGGGGGGTGTGCTATTCTGCATAGCTGTCTCCTGTCTTCCATGGTCTCCGATGCACAAAGGAACCACCATCAAGAAAGTACTGCTCTGTGTTCTTTCACAGCTTTACTCAAGTTGCTTGACTTTACTTGCATGATAGGTGATAGCATGAGCCAGTGGCGTACACAGGATTTTTTTAAGGGGGAGGGGGGGGGGGGTAAGAGCACATATAATCTTTTTTTTCGGTCCAGTTTTTTAGGAAAAATTTCGCAGCGACTCAGCCAGCCGTTAAATAAGCGGGGGGGGGGGATGGGTTACCACCCAAAACCACCCCCTGTGTACGTGCCTCATCACCTCTGCTAGTTCAAGTTCCCTTGTGTTTTAAACTACCAGGAACCATTGAAACAGCAAAGCAGCATTTATGGTTTGTTCAGTTAAAATGTTTACTTTCGAAATCTCTCCCAGAGTTTTAATTGTCTTTCCTTTTAAACGAGACTGATTGTGAAAACAGCATACATTGGAAAGCCTCTTAGCTAATTATCGATGCACCCCCAGCATAGCCCACTGAAAGAGATTGACTTGCGCTTAGGTTGCTTCCAGGCGTTCATGGTTTTGCTGGAAGCAATCGGTACCCTGATGAAATTAGGAACTGGACTTCGCAAATCCTTGGAACAGATAGCAGGGAACTATACTTACACTTTTACAATGCAGCCAACTGAGCCAAGGCTCCGAAGGTGTAGAACTGTAATCAGTTGAAGTGGACCTGGGTACGGGATCTATGCTCACAACTACTTTTTCTGCATGCCTACAGCGATTACGATTCGCTTCTTGGATATTCGGAATCGGAAAGAAAGCAGTCTTCCAGAAGATTGTGAAATGCAACCTCTCTTTGGAATCCTGTGCTACCAAGTCCTTTTACCTAGTCAGCCAAAGGAACTAATAGAGGAACTTGGTAATATTAATGTGTGTTTATTGTCTAGATATTATTATTAAGTTGTTACTTTGTCTTTGTCACCCCCCCCCCCCCCATCCCCCGTGTCAACAATGACCTGTCAATAGTTGAATTGACCCTCTTTTTTTGGGGGGGGGGTGAATTTGGATCTGTGACACCTTAAGGGTGAGAGAGATACATTATAAGTTCATTTCTTGTTCATAAGTGCGCCCTCTATTGGGATTTTTTAGTGGTTTTGTGGCCCTTTGGACGCCATATTGGATTTCGTGACGTTCTAAATTATCCTAATGGATTCTCTGACCCCGTAAACCCTAGCATTGTCACCCCAATTATGATGGATAATAAGTGAGTTATGGCCATTGTTACGTTATGGCGGCCATTTTGGACGCCATCTTGGATTTTGGGGTTTCGTAGACCATCCCAAATCATTCTTACTTGTCTCAACTTATTCTCTGACCTCCCCCCCTCCCCCCCTCCCCCCCCCCCAAAAAAAAAAAAAAAAAAACCATGAGATATAGACACCAAAATTATGTCGCTCTGATGGATAATAAGTGATTTATGGGCATTTTTAGTTATCGGCGACCATCTTGGACGCCATCTTGAAAATAACAGCTTTCCGAACATTCGATTTTTGTATACTTTTAGTATGTTATTCCTGAGGTCGAATAGTACTAGAAACCGTTGTAAAACCTTTTGTTGCAATTTTTTGGGGTTGGGGTGCTTTTTACTGTGTATTGACCTCACTATAAGGCGATCTCATCAAACTTACAGAGAGAGCATTCCTGTCGTAGGTTCCATTACAGTTTATTGGAGGAGAGCTCGTGGAAGAGTGTTTTGGAATATTACTCAAGTTGCTCTTGAAAGGCCTGAAATAAAATACAAATAAAAAATAAATACACAAAAAGATGAATAATTGTTTATATACTTTATATTCATGTATGTGGTTATCTATCTATTTAAAATATATAGATATCCACCTTCATAGATACATAAGTATATACAAAATAAGTAAAAAAAAGTAAATCAATGAATAAATAGATTAATGAAAGAATAAAGAAACAAATAATGAATAATATGTTAGAGTAGAGTTTACATTGTTCTTGAAAGGCCTAAAACGTAATACAAAGAAGTTAATAAATACATAATAGATTAATAGCGGAATAAAACATAGATATATAAATAAATGAATAAGTAAGTAAATGAATGAATTGATAAATAAATAAAAGAATACAAGAAATACGGGAGTAGATTTCACTTTAAAAAAACTATTGAAATGATTATATGTCAAGGTCGAACTCACCAGAGACCATGTATTGTCCATATCTGCTTAGCTGTACTTGGGATGGTACATGCGTTCCTCTGAAAACAATCAGGAAGATGAAATATTGGATGGAAATCTTTAGATTTAGATCGAAGTATTGGTAATGATAATGATAGTGATAATGATAATAATAATATTAACAAGAATGATGATAAAAATTATGATAATAATTATGTTAATAATAATAATATTAAAAAGAATGATGACAATAATAATAATAAAAGGTTTAGTAAAAAATGACAATGACACTACTACTACTACTACTACTACTACTACTACTACTACCACCAATACTACTACCACCACCACTACTACTACATACGGAACATCTATTTGTTAACAAACAAAATCGTTAACGTACACGATTTGTTTTCATTTCACCTAGGCATGTTCATGTTTAAAATTAAACTCCAATCAGGTTCCCAGCGCTCTTACAAAATTACATACAACTAGTGCCAATATACACCTACCCTACTAGACGCCGTAACCAATATCATCTTCCTCCATTAAACCCGTCTTCATACACAACAAAATGTATATACTGGACCAATGTACTGGAAAAAACTCGAAGCCTTCCTAAAACAACACACACGTATCTTTTGTCTCAAGGAATACCTTAAGCTCACTCTTTTGAATTCACACTGAGCTCCAGCTATGCAATCCTGAGTCGTCAGCCTGCGCAAACAACTTAAAGGTAATACAAAGTTTTGGGAAATAATGAGAATTGGGTGGATAGTGATTCTTTACAATTTCGATATATTTGGATGCCCCTGTGGATGTATTATAAGCAATAGAAAATATAGCCCCTAAAACACTTCTGCTTTCGAGAAAAATTCAATATAAAATTTACTGGTGCTCCCGGTAAATTTTGATAAGTTTTAAAACGCGCCTACGGCCGTACAATGGTAGCTGCGACCATGAAGATCTCAGAATATGTAGTTATGATATGCTAATCGGTCGATTTTAGTCAATAAATATTGTTTTATAGCTTAATTAATACCTTGACCTTGAGAGGGAGCTATACAACATAAAGAGTTTATTATTTACAATTTTTCATAACTTTCGACTCGATTTCAAACGCAACAACGATCACTGAATATTGTAGGACCGCATATGCTTCCAATATGTTCATTTGAACCAAATTCATGACCCCATACCAAAACATTGTATTACCTTTAACTGTGCACAAACAAACTTTATTATTCCAATGCATCAAGAAGCACGGGTTTGCTTTTCCTGCTCATGCCTTCTGATTTCGTATTTCGTATTTATTGATTCAACCATACAATAACATCAAATGAAAACAATAACAGTATATCAATTTCAAACAATAAATACAATTATGGATAGGAACTCCGAAAAGCAAAATGCTTGTAATCGGTATCCCGAAAGAAGAAAAATGAAAAACAATTAATTATTCAAAATAAACAAACAAGACTATATACATTATCACACAGAGAGACATACACACACACACACACACACACACACCACCACCACCACCACAGATACACTCACATACACATTCCTGAAACTTTAATTTCAAAATATAAAATGGGGGGGGGGGGTCACATATACATTATATATCATATGCATGCATAATATCCATAACATTTCATTAAAAGTAGCCTAATAATATTGACTCGGACAATAATTTAAATTTCTGAGAGGGATAGTTGAGTTCTTGTTTCAGATCGCAAATGCTTTCAAAGTGCAAGGTTATTGCTCTTATTCTTATTTATGACATTTCTAGTGCCCTTTTAGGACCTATAATTGCTATGAAGGTAATTTTAGACCCCCAAATGTGTGAAATTTAGCCAGTACGATCATACCAATTCAGCTCTACTTTTAAAAAAAATACGGTGACCGTTAATTAATTATTTAATTAATAATAACAATACATGGGCCGGCTGGTTGTGCGTTTATAAACAACACGAAAAGCCAACAAAAAGCCAACATCGGCAATGGCTGAAATAAAACGTATAAGGCGCCATTTCGTTTTGTCAATGGCTGATTCAAATTATCTAATATTTGTGATGGTACACAAATATAGGAAATGGTTATATTTATGGATATTTCAGCCGTCTCTGAACCGATTTTGATCAAACAAAAAAGATTTTGTTGTTTAAATTGTATGTTTTTCAAATTTGACACTCAGTTTTCATTATATCACAACAAAATTGTTTTGTGTAGCGCCCTCTGCAACATAACTCAACTATCCCTTTAAGTGATCTGTTTGATTTTATGTCTTGTGGGATTTTATTCCATTCTTTTAATCCCTTACTGATAAGGGATCGAAGACCAACTGTAGTTACTTTGATGGGTGTTGTATTGGTGGTAATCGGAATCGAATATTAAGTGCTTATCTTTAGATTAGGGAATTATGTTATTTAATGACGAGTATATAAATATTAGTGTATTAACCAATTGATAAATAGGTAAAATGTTCAAACATTTGAATAATGACGCAGATGATGAGCGAAAATCTGAATTGTTATTATTCGAACAACTTTCTTTTAAAATAGTTTAATCTTTGACAAATGGGTCTTATATGTATTACCCAGATATAACTGTAGTAAGTAAGGTGATATAATATAAGAGTATTATATAATATGAGCAAAATATTTTTAGGTCATATATACTTAAACCTAGATAATATTCCAACATTCTTTGATATTGTTTTACAAAGTTGATATATATGTGTTTTCCAGTTTTAATATTCATCAAAAATTACACCATGAAATTTCGCAACACTTAGTCTTTTTATTGTTATGTTTGCTTTATGTACATCATCTAGGTTATTAGGAATCCTCCTGTTACTTGTTCTAATATATTGTAAATGTTTTTTGAAATATTTAAGGATAGTTTTTTACATTGAAACAAACTATTTATCTTTTTTTAACTCAATATTTATGGATTCAATAACATGTGTTATAACATGTTGTGAGCTTTGAAATCGGCAGCCTAGCATAGCCGGGTAATGTTGGGGCACCTTGAGGACCTTGCAAGGTCGATACATGCGCTATATAAGATTCCAATATTATTATTATTATTATTATTATTATTATTATTATTATTATTATTATTATTATTATTATTATTATTATTATTATTATTATTATTATTATCTATGAGAAATAACTGCACAGGTATCATCAGCAAACAATGACAACTTTATTATTTTGGATGAGTTTATAATATCATTAATATAAACAAGGAATAGCAGGGGGCCTATCACTGATCCCTGGGGGTCACCTCAGCTATCCAACTGCGTTGATGATTTGACACCATTGATAACCACACATTGTGTTCTATTAGTCAAATAATTTTCAAACCGATTAAATGCATTGCCTCTTACAACATAGAAATAAAGTTTCTGTAAAAGTATGTGGTGATCAATGGTGTCATCTGCTTAAGACAGGTTCATTAGTATGCCCACACAATACTTTTTATGTTCAATATTCTCTAAAATATGTTGAAATAAATTTAAAATTGCAAGATTAGTTGAATGTTGTTTTCTAAAGCCATATTGTTCACTTATCAAAACATTACGTAGTTGTAGAAATGAATAAAGTCTCTTATGAATGAGTTTTTCCATTAACTTCACAAAGATTGATATTACTGCTATATGTCTGTAATTAGTCATTTCATTTTTATTACCTTATTTAGATATAAGAATAATTTTAGATACTTTCAAGTTATCAGGTATGACTCCACAATAAAGAGACTTATTAAAGATATTAATTAATGGTTCTATAAAGAGATTAATTCAGTTTTTTACAACACGGGGTGATATTTCATCAGAGCTGCATAACGTTGATGAATTTAAAGTAGAACATATTTTAAAAACTTTATAGACCGAAATTGGATATAAAAACATTGGATTTAGAAATGAACTGAATACGCAGGTTGTATTCTGAGAGATATCTCTACCAAAAGAAGCAAAGTATGAATTGAATTCATTCGCAATGTCAGGAACTACATCACATTTTTTATCCTTGTTAAACATTATATAAGGGATGCCACTTAACTTTCTGTTCCTGAGTAAATTATTTAGTTGGTTCCATGTTTTCGTAATATCTCCTTTAATGGTATAGAACTTTAATAAGTAACTAATAAATAGTCTTTTGTGGCAACACGTAATACATCAGTTAATTTATTCTTATGTTTGGTCAACTTCATTTTATTTTTGAAGCGAATTTTCAAGTGATTTGTATATATTATATTCTTGTTATTAATAGATCGCAACAAGCCCTTTGATACCTAGGGTTTTTAAAATCTTTGTTTATGTGTTTTCATTTCTACTTCCGGAAAAGATTCAGACAATTTTTGAGACATATTTCATAACATGTATTGACATCATTAATTTTATATAAAACACTCCAGTCCATATCTTTAAATTTCCTCTTGAATGCGTTAACATTACCATCATTAATCAATGTCTTTTTGAGAGTTGTGTTCGGACATATATATTGCACAAATGGGAAAATGATCAAAAATATCATCTAAAAATTAAAGCTTTTTATCACACCATCATCATGAGAGTTAGAACAAACATTATCATTGAGAGTAGCTGATGTAGTAAATATTCTTGTAGGTTTAGTTATTAAAGGGTAAAAGCTATGACTGTACATAAGATTCAGAAAAACATTAGTATTTTCATTTGTTTCAGCATTCAACAGGTTCAAATTAAAGTCACCCTTGATAAAAAAAAAATCGAGGTCATATCCGTAAATTAAAGTCACAATGTTCTTGCATTTTATCATCATAACGTGTTAAATTTACATTTGACGCTTTGTAGACACAACCAACTTTTTATTCTTACATTTCAGTTCAATGAATAGAGAATCACATATATCAAAAAAGTTAGATATATCTTGACATATTTCAAAATCAAAATCATATTAACATAAATAACACCTCCTCCACCAATTCCTTTACATCTATTTACATGCACTAAATTATAACCAGGAATATTAAACATATCTATGATTGTACTGGACTGAAACCAAGTTTCAGAGGTACCAATGACACTGAATTTATGTTGTAATGATCAAAGTAAAAAAGACAAATTATCAAAGTTTCTTATCAAGCTTCTGGCATTAATATGAAGCAAAGAAAACAAATCAGCTGCATTATAATTAAACATATTATTGAACTCGTCAGCAAAAATATAAATACTTTTACTCTTTCCATACTATATTATTGTTCTTATCATTAGACACATTGTCAAAATCTAAATGGGTTTAATATATTTGAATTTATCGTAATCAACATCCTTGTTTAATCTGAAGAAAGATAGTAATTGGAATTCAAATTCATCATCAAATTTGTAATGATTAAAAGGCAACGCATTTATACAGTCATCACATAAATTACTTTGCGTACATTGTCCTAGGCATTCACAACAAATATCACACTTCATCAACATTTACACAACAACTAAATACCATAAATGATAACATACAGGGGAAACTTGAACCAAGTATGCCATAGATATAGAGTTAGAACCACTGGTAAGTGGTATAGGAAGTACATGCATAAACATTAAATGTAAATGTTTTTGGTACATGAACATATCTTTATCAATGGATGTTAATGCTAAAAAAAATCAAAGTTTGATTGACAGCTGTCCATATTATATAGATATAAGTCAGTGTTTATGTCCTTGCGTTGATTAGCTACATGTATACTATACATTATTAGCTTAGTGTGTATAGGTCAGACAGACGCTTGGTTGTTTTTATTTAATCGGCCATCATCCTTTTTTATCATAGCAAAACACGGCCTTCTGTGGTCCTAGACATGCAGTGCTACAATACCTGAAGGAGGGGGGGGGGGTAGGTTGCCACAAGCCCGGCTATATTTTATCAATTTGTTTATGTTAGAATATTTTATGCAAACAAAATAAAAAAAATGAAATTTGTTCTGATTTATCAAGTTTTGCATTAAGTTACATACATACTAATGATTTTATATAAGCCCCTTTTCAATCGTTTTCTCAAAAATTGTGATTGAGATTTTCATTCATTCTAATTTTGATGGTTGAATGACGAATGATAAAATAGAAATATATATAAAAAGTTTAGACTCACCTTCTTACAAAGTGAAGGCCCCCATTCATAAACCAATGTCAGCTTGTCATAATTAGCTGTGTAAGCGGGAGCTCCTTTCTTGAAACATGAAGTGATCCACTGATGGCATCCTCTCCACAAATTCGAACTACCATGGCAACGTCACAACAGCCAATCAAATCAAGGTTTCCAGGAAAGTTACCATTCATGGCAAAGTTACCATCAATGGTAAGTTTTTATGCAACAGTTCCCAGGGAGAGGGAGAGAAAGAGAGAGAGAGAGAGAGAGGGAGGGAGAAAAACGGGGTAAATTTGTCGAACTTCCAATATATTTTTGGATATCTCTTTTGATTTTCCGCTATCTGCACTTACAATTATTACATTAAAAAAAATCTCCTTTCAGTTATTAGCTTACCGTGAATTTTAATAATTCTTCTTCACGCAATCTCAATTATAAATGTCGTCTATTTAATTAATACAGTCAATTCTCATCTCCTACAAACGGTTTACGCAAAATAATTTAGAAACAATTTGATAAACTTGAATTTAAAAAAAGGAAACAAAAATGATACACATAATTATATTTACCAAAGTCCGCACAAACTCTCTCCAATGTAACTGCCTTCGCTGGTGTGCACGTAAGATATCGCAACCAGAAGAAGCAAAATAGACAAGCGCGCCATAATCAGTCAAACAATCTCTTGAAATTGTGCTGTCGATTACTTTTCGATACTGGTCTTGACTCTTTTTTGAAGATGTCGTCTGCGCTAGGTAGTCCCTCTGCAATGGCCCTTGACTCGAGCACCTAATGATGGTGAGGGCTCTTTATTCTGCTATTTATTTAAAAATATTGTCTACGGTGGTTATCATAACAGTATACTTGAGCTTTTTGGTAATGGTCATACGATCAATCTTTTTTTAAATTGTTGTATCGTGATGATTTGGAAACTAAGAGGCCAACATCCGCCTGCAAGATTGTGCCATATTGCAGGGCGAGAAAGACATGATAGATAAGAAATAGAGAGAGAGAGAGAGAGAGGGAGAGAGAGAGGGGAGGGGAGGGGAGAGGGAAGGGGGAGGGGAGAGAGATGGAGAGGGCGAGAAAGATGGAGAGAAATATATAATAAAATTATATAACAAAACAGACAAAGGAAAGACAGAGAGAAGGGATAGAGGCACAAAGACAGAGACAGCAAGCCGAAGAGGATCATAATTCTAAGATTTGAAATTACCGCTGGTATATACAAGAGTTATGAGATTTGATAGTGTGAACTCTGAATTTTAGCATTGGATTAAGGCTAGTGCCACATACAAAATCTGCAACTCTTCATATATGCATAATCATGATAATGGTACATTAAAGGGACTAGGTAACTTTGTCTCAGATTCTGAAATTAAATCCTGGTGCAATGATAGTTATAAACCTGTAGGTGAGTCAGGAATCCAATGAATTTAACAAGCCGATCCCCTGTCTGATTTATTGTCAAGGTATTTATGATTTAAAATCGAAATCAAATTTTGCGTTTTCCTAACGGTTTTCTTCAGTCTATTGGGGAAAATGGGTATGGTATTAAAAGCCGGTCACGTACAGATCTTTTACATTTTTGAGACAATTCAGGATCATTTTGAAGCGCAATTTTTTAGGGCTTCAATATCACACCATATCACAGACATTGACAACACGTAGGGTCGTGCATCTCAAATTTAACATTGTTAAAGGATACCTTTAAGCACCAATTATTGCATTTTCTATTTTACGGACAATCTAAGAATCTTTCTAAGAAAGATGAAAGCATTACATGTGAAAAGTGATACAATGTTCCTGTTCTACCAATGTGTCATACAGTCAGTCATCTGTTTCTGCTGTCTAGCCTGGTTTAACAGCCTTAGTGGGAAAAACAGAGCAAAGTTGAATAGGATAGTAAAACATGCCAGCAGAGTAATTGGGGTCTCTGTGAAAGAGCTGGAAGATGTTGCAGAAAGGGCATTATTGGCTAAGCTGCAAGTGATTGTGAAGGATTCTAATCACCCTCTGCATAATGAAGTGGTTTTCAATAGATCAGGAAGAATTAGGTTACCAAGAATAAGAACTGATAGGTTCGGCAGGTCCTTTCTCCCAAGTGCAATGAAAGTGTTTAACAACAATTTCTGTAGATGAATGACCCTGTACACTCCCGAGTACGATCCCCTACCCTCTCATTCTATCTCTCTCTCTCTCTCTCTCTCTCTCTCTCTATCCTACATATATCTCTCCCTCTCTCTCTCTCTCTCTCTTCATATCCTGGAAGTACAGGGGGTGAAGATGGGTCAGCTTGTATAAGGTCAAGGGGGAGGGGGTCTTCCCTGCTGTTATGGTTGGGTGGTTGGTAGTGTGTAAGTGACATGTGGACTCATCAATTCAGTTCAATTTATTTCAACAATATTTTCAATATCTCACACTTCACTTTTCCTCCTTTTCCTTTCTTCCCTCTCTTTCCTTTTCTCCATTTTTCTTTCTTCTTCTTCTTTCCTTCTTGTCTCTCTTTTAGCCTCTTCTATCTGGCATCAATTTTCTTCTTTCAACTGTACAGTGTATCCACCATCTATATGTACTGTACATGTACTAGCATACAGTTGTATTTGTATTTCTTGGCATGCATAGCAGTGTTTCATAAATGTAACAGTACTAAGCACAGGTGCAATATAAATAATGTCTATTATTACAAAGCAATGTTTTGAATGAAACTGTATATGCATCATCTCACACTGAACTGTTCCTCTCTTTTACTCTCTCTCTCTCTCTTTCCCTTTCCCTTTCTCCATTTCTCTCTCCCTTTCTCTCTCTCTCGTTCTCTCTCTTGTCTTTCCTCTTTGCCATCCAGTATGATGTACGTTTAGTTTATGTCTGCTACTCAAAATCAAAATAAACAGTTTTTATCTGAAATTTTTAACAATTGATGCATAATTTATTTTTAGATCTTTGCTGTGACTTGTTATATTTATATGTTATATGACATTGATTGTTGTCATGTACATTTTCTGCTATTTATTTAAGTTAGTATTGTCTGTTGGGAGCCAGGGGAGTACAAATAATCAAATAATTCCCCTGGCTCTCAACAGAGAGGTTAAATTATATTACATTGTAATGCTATTTATGTTATTTGTAATTACTGTCTATGATATGTTAATGTATTGTTATATTTATACAAATGTGAGCTGTAAAACGATTTTTATGCCTTCATTTTATTTTGTGCATGACAATAAAGAAATTCAATCTCTCTCACCGTACAACCGACGATCCGATAAGCTTTTGCTTTATTACCGGCGTCCATTTCATCACACTCCTAGCAAGTATGACGTCATATCAATACTGCTGTCTAATTGGCTAAAAAGGTAGATTGAGCCTGGAATCCAATGCTCACAAGAGATCCCAATCCCACCGCACACTATACGATCCGACTACGATTCGATTTCGGGAGAATTTGAAATAACATTTGATATTAACATTCAAACATGTAAGATCTTTATGACCAAGGATAGGAGTATTCATATTGAATAAAATAACAAATGTCAAAGGGTTCATGCTTCCATAATTTAACGCACTCAAATTCCAATTTTTGGTATTTTTATCACTATTTAGAACCTAAATCAGGACAATAATGTTGGTTGCGATTTCCATATTGTCTGCGACTGGTCTGCGATTGGTCTGCGATTGGTCTGCGACTTACAGACTAACAAGAGTTGTGACGTCACATCCCCTTTCACGAAGTCGCAGGGTACATGAACAGACATAAAATGTGTTTGGAATCAAGTTCTGAGTGTGAGAGATGCAAAAAAGGTTTTCATCCTGAGCACTTTCGAAATTTATAAAAAGAGAGCGGTTTGATCGTACTTTTCCCAACTTTGATAGCTAACTACCTAGAGGAAACCAGAAAATCATAGAGGTAGACTTGTGAAAACTGGAATGAATTAGACCCCAAAAACGGGAAATTTATGAAGTTTGTCAGATTTGTAATCACTATACAGGGCGTATCATAATAAAGGATATTGAAGTTTAATGACGATTTATATGATCACTACTGATTTTATAATCAAGCATTTTATGTCTGTTGTAAAGGACAGAATGTCCTCTTTTTAATGACACCCCGATCATACTACTACTGTCACAGTTGACTGAATAACAAAGCATTGCTGTCCACCATGTGAAAGGTGCACTGTGACAAGTTAGCATTCACAGATAAATTCTAAAGATTAGTGCTTGTGTCAGCCCCGACATATCGAAATGATGAACAATGAGTGGATTATGTGTCTAAGAAGGAAATGTTATCAAACTTGGCACAGTGCACCTTTCACATGGTGGACAGCAATGCTTTGTTATTCAGTCAACTGTGACAGTAGTAGTATGATCGAGGTGTCATTAAAAAGAGGACATTCTGTCCTTTACAACAGACATAAAAAGCTTGATTATGAAATCAGTAGTGATCATATAAATCGTCATTAAACTTCAATATCCTTTATTATGATACGCCCTGTAGGTATGGGCTGAATCGATAACATCTCTGCGATGTAAAGGCGGACAACTTTCCCATTTGTTCCAACATACAACATGGAGGTAATTGTCCTGGATGTCATGGTTCTGGAGGGAATTGTCCTGAAGGAAATTGTCCTGGAGGTATTTGTCATGAAGGAAGTTGCCGTGGAGTTAATTGTCCTAGGAGTAATAGTCCTGGAGGTAATTTTTATGGAGGTAATTTCCCTATAATTAATTGTACTCGACGTAATTGTTCTTGGGGTAGTCGTATTTGGCGCTTATTCCCCGGGGTAATTGTATTGTCCAGTAGATAGTTGTCCGGATACGGATTCAGTATTATCTGTGTCCAAAAAACAAGCCTACATGTATTACAAGTCTATAAGAAATGGTGATCGGAATAAAATATTTCACTGACACTACCAATCTTTATTCTCCACTGGCTTTACTCATATGATAATTTGTGCTAGCAGTGGCAGCGGCAATACATCATAGAGATGGAAAGAGAGTGAAAGAGAGATGGGAGGGAGGAGAAAGGGAGGGAGAGGTAGATCACGAGGTACAGGGGTCAGTTCTAAATAGGTAGAGGAAACAAAGGATCGATAAATGGTTCTATATATCTATATAGATAAAAAATAACTCTATCTATCGAGAATAAATCATATTGTCACATCTATTTCAGGATGAGAGGTAAACAAGTTTATTCCAACGTTATATTTAACTGTATATAACTGTATATTTGCAATTGTATCAATTCAAATTTCAAAATAATATATATACCTGTATTTTTAAAATTTGCAATCCAACAATACAATTCTGTTAATCACATCTAGTTTGTTGCCGAATTCTTCCTCTTTTTTTAACAGCTATTTTTTTTTTTGTAAATTAAATTTTCAATAATAATTATATATCTTAATATGGATCTTGAAGCAAATACATGTGTATTAACCATGTTTTGCCTAAATATGTAAAGCTTTTTATATTTAAATATCTATAATGAATATATCAATGACATTGTGGTTTGTGCTTTAGGATTTATTGTTTAATTTTGTAGTCGGTTTAAGCTGGTCTCGAAAATTATGCTGCATTTACATTGTACGGTATTATATTTGTATTATAGTTTATTACACTTTATCCGATTATATATCTAGTTCTCCATTTCAGCCTATTTATCTGTCCTACTCTTTATCTGTCCCTTTTATTGTCTAGTCTCTTTGCCAGCTTGTCTTTCTCATTTCTCTATGCCCTCTCTTTCTCTCCCCCTCTCTGTTATTATCTTACCAGTCCTTCTAATCTTCTGTTACATTTGTCTTATTGCCTTCTGCTACGCGATCGTTCTCCTTCAATTATCCTTTAGTCATCCGTTTCAATCTCTTCTCTTGTTTCTCTTCTTTTCTTTGATCA